TGAAGAAATAGACCTGATTTTTCTTAAAGGAATTATGGAAAACCCTATCGTAAGATCACTTGCTAAGGTATTTAAACTTGCTACTCTGAGTAGAATCTGGAAATATTTTAACCCTTAAATTATTGTGCGAACCCTGAGTATGGATTGAGGTGTTAATGGCTTTCATGTACGGTATGTCTTATTAAAAGAATTGAAGGCAAGCTTGAAGGTGAAGATTTGGTATAGTATAATTTTTGTGCCTGATGATTAATTGTTTTATGTAAGATTCTAGAAGAAGAATTCAGAGACTACAAAAATAATGTGATTACATTATTTATGAAGAAAACATCAAAATACTTGAAATTAGAGGCAGTTGATTTTAATGTAGTCTTGTAACCACTGTTGTGTGCAAAACCCATATGCCTTCTGACTTTTAGCATTTTTGCCAAAGATGAGAAGTGAGAGCAGTAACCTTCTTTCTCCTGTGGCATAAACAAGTTCTCTTTTTGTCTTTAGCTCAAAACTACTTTCTGATCAGCCCAGGAAAACACTGTCTCCATGCCCTTTCCTGGATTTCAGAATAATGCTGTTATCTTTGATTGTCAGCTCTCTGAGACATTGACTATCCTTAGTTTTGGTCTTGGGTTACAAAAATCTTTTATTTATAGATGGTAGCAATCAATTATGAATACGTAAGGTGATATTTGCAAAAATCTTTGGACTCTGTAATTAAAACGTAGCTGGTCTTACCAGTAGGAAATGCAGTCAAATATTGTACAGCACTTACATTCTTTCTTAATTTTACTTCATAAAAATAAGCTCCTTTCATGAGGAAAACCCAGTTAACTTAAATGCAACTATGTCTTTAATAGGAATAGACATCTGAAAGCAATGCCCTCTGGGCAGGTGTGTAATACTCTGTAAAGCTAAAGGATTGTTGTGCAGGGATTTTGCTCAGTATAAAAATCTGGAAAGGAAAACTTCCCATGAGAATTCGTAGAAGAATTTACTTCTGTTAAGCTGTTCAAAAAATTGTTTTTAAGTCAAAGACATTGCATAGTAATAAACTTAGAAGTAATAGAAGTGTCTCATCTTCTGCTGAGATGACTGTGAAGGGAAAGATTTTATACTAAATTTAGTAGAGTAAGTAAAAGCATTTTCTTGCTGAAGTTGGAAACAACTCTTTAAGTATCTGCTGCATAGGTCATCTTTAATTTAGTATTTATCATGAAGAAAATGTTCATTGCAAAGTTTTTTTTCTATCAAGAATTTGTGCTTTAATGGCCAATTACAATTATGTGGAATTTAATGACTAGCAGATGTAAAAAAAGTGATTATAGTGGAAACAGATTCTTAACTGTACACATGCTTTATATAGTAATGCTGAAAGATTTAAATTGTGTTCACATGGCACGACCACACTCATTTTCTTTTATAATTATTTTGGAAAAAATCTCTGTCTTAGCCAGCAGAACTAAATAAGGGTAAGTTCAAAACACATTTCCTGAACTGTGTGTGTAGTTCATACATTTGTATGATATCCATTTGTCCCTAATATCCATTGTCCCAAATGTCCATTTGTCCCTAAAGATACATAAACTTGTTTTTCTATTGAAGGAGCTAGTTTTAACAGTGTATAGCGATTCTCAGAGCCCTGAGATGGCCACATTATTTAGGCAGAATAATTTCAAAGCAGGCCAGAATTATTTTCATTTTCCTTTATTAGCCAGTCATTAAGACTAATAATTATGTAAATGATGCCATAAAGGACAAAAAGAAACTTATGGAAATGGGCCACAAGCCATACAAACTTATTTTTTCTTTTCAGTCCTTAAAAAAAAAGGAAGGTAAGCAATAAGCATAGTAGTTAGTTTATAACATTTTGCAGTGCAAAGCTTGGCTGATCTTTTAAAACCGGGTTAAGTTCATTTCACACTTTTCCTGTGTAGAATAAAGGCATCAAGGTAGAAATTACAGATCTTTTTGGGGATAGGGTTCTTTGATGGTATCTTTCCATTTTTCGATAGGTGGTAAGAGAAAGGGGAAGTAACTGCAATCATTGTAAAATGTTTTTTCCTGTTATTTACTGATGTTTATAGAATCATAGAGTAGTTTGGGTTGGAAGAGACCCTTAAAGGTCAGCTAGTCCAACCCCCTTGCAGTGAGCAGGGGCATCTTCACCGAGATCAGGTTGCTCAGAGCCCAGTCCAGCCTGACCTTGAATGTTTCCAGGGATGGAGCATCTGCAGCCTTTCTCTGGGCGACCTGTTGCAATGTTTCACCACACTCATCCTAAAAACTTTCTTCCTTATATCTAAGCTCAGTCTGCCTTTTTTTAGTTTTCAATCATTATGCCTTGTCCTATCTCTATGGGCCCTACTAAAAAGTTTTTCCCATCTTTCTTATAAGCCCCCTTTAAATATTGAAGTGCTGCAATTGGATATTCTCAACCCTTAACAACTTCAACTCCTGTGCTGACATTTGTGTTCAATCCTAACTAGCCTTTTTTTAGAATTACTATGTTTTTTTGAAAATAGTTGTTGAGCTTGGAACATGGGTGAAGTTTATTCGGTTTTGCTACTGAACTGTCGTTATCAGCATTCTCTTCTCCTGGATTGTTAACTATTCTTTCGAACCTCAAATCTTTATCTTCTTTCTGCAGTCACACTATTGCTTTTAGCACTGTATGCCTGCAGCATACCAGCACAGGGCCTAACTCAGACCAAGGAAACATCTTAGCAATAATCTATAAAATTTGAGTCCAGTATTTAGGATGTCATGTTGTTGGAGGTAAAAGCCTTACTATTTGAGCATTTGGCAAATACAATGAATGTCAAATGCACTTGAAGACTCAATTCAGTATCTCTGTTTCTGGAAAAGATGAATTGAAATAAAAAAAAAAATTGCAGTATCTAAGTTAGGTATTCCTGCTTGTTTGTTGGTTTTTTAAATTATTCATGCCACTCCATATCCTGCTATTCCTCAATATATTACAGGATCAGAGGTTGTTCACTGATAAACTTCCCATTCCCTACTATATACATTCCCTGCTATATATTCCCTGCCTTGATTTTGGAGTGAAGGGTGAGGATATTTGTATTTAGATTATACTCAGTGGTAGTACTTTTAAAAAGAACGTGTGAGAAAGAAGATAACCCATATTCTCTAATATCATAAAGGTTCTGCAGTTGGATTATGTTTAGAAGTCCTAAGATTTGTATTTTTACTTGCTGTAAAAGAAGTAAACTTTAAAATGAGGATATTGTTTACTGTATGTATTATGTACAAAATAGCATTCCCTTATTAAAGAGAATGTGTGTAGGTGCCAAGCTTCCTATGACTTTATAATCACAGTCATTTGGTTTGTGTGTGTTGGTGTTGGGGAATGTTTGAAATGTCTTTATGGTAAGTTAGCCTTTCCAGAGTTTGATCATCAGTCTAGCAGAAATACCATTTTATAGATACAAAGTAGAATTTAATATTCAGATGATTTCAGGAAACAAAGTTTTCTCATTTTAGCAAAATTTTATTTTAAGATCTGTTTTAAAGCACTAATAAGAAAGTAGAAGTGTGTGCATACCTTCAAATTATATATATGGGAAATATATATAGGTGAGTCTCAATTAAATCTGCTATTTGTTTGTTTTTTATATGCCAAAGTGATTGCTCTTTTTAAAATTTCTTGATGCTATGGCGTTGGAAATAACTCTTAATTGAGTGTGTTGAGAATCTTAGTTATTTTTGGCCTCCTCCTTTCCCCCTAATTCTATGATACAACAATACCTGTAATAATTAGTTCAGATTTATGAGATATTTCTCTTGCTGTTTAAAGCTCCTACCTTTCAATGAATTTCAGGATCTGCAGTGTTTAGGAAAGGATGATGTCTGCAGGAATAGCTCTAGAAATAGATGAAAAGTTGTCAAAGAATCGCAGGATAGCTGAGGTTGGAAGGGACCCTCTGGAGGTCATCTGGTCTACCCACCTGCTCAAGCAAGACTACCTGGTTGCCCAGGACCATATTCAGACAGCTTTTGAGTATCTCCAAGGAGTGAGACTCCATCCTCTCTGGGCAACCTGTGTCAGGGCTCAGTCACCCTCACAGTGGAAAACATGTTTCCTGATACTAAGACAGAGGCTCCTGTGTTTCAGTTTGTGTCTCCTGCCTCCTGTCCTGTTGCTGGACACCACTGAAAAGAGCCTGGCTCTGTCTTTTTTGCAGGTACCTGCAGGTACTTATACATATACATGAGATCTCCCTGAGCCTTCTCCTCTCCAGGCTCAACATTTCCAGCTCTCTCAGCCTTTCCTCAAATGTGAGGTGCTGCAGACTCTTCATCATATTTGTGGCCCTTCACTGGGCTCTCTCCGGTATGTCCAGAACTGTCCACAGTATTCCACGTGTGGCCTAACCAGTGCTGAATAATACTCCCACTTCTGGTAACACTCCTCTTAATGCAGCTCAGGATGCTGTTACCTGCCTTTGCCATAGACTTTTCTCTTGAAGAGTTTATTTTTTTCCTGAGCTCCCTTAGTTCATTTTTCTTGTCCTTCTTCCAGAAGGTGTGCTTGTACAGAGTTCTGAAGCAGAAAAGATCCTGAGGCACTGTACTGTTCTGAGAGGACTGTTGAGTGTATATAGCATAGAGGTTACAGGAAATGAGGACATACAAGCTTCTCTGACAGGTGTTGCTTATGAAGTTTGTTGGGTCACATAGTTAAGCATGTGAAATCCTTCAGCAGTATAAAGATAAAATATACAGGTTATCCTAAATGTAATTTTTCTGGCTTTCCTGCTGAAGGTTGCACCAAGAAATTACTTTAAAAGTTTATAGATTGAAAACTCTTGAAAGATATTTACAATATATTCTCATGTATTTAATCTTACAGGCTCATGAGCGACTGGAAGATTCTAAACTTGAGGCTGTCAGTGACAACAACCTGGAGTTGGTGAATGAAATTCTTGAAGACATAAGTCCGTTAGTAAATAAAGATGAAAATATTGCAGAATTGGTTGGAATACTCAAGGAACCTCATTTTCAGGTGCCACCTTTTTACTGTATGTTACCAACTTACTGTATCAGTCTCCACATATGGATCTAGGAATAATAATGAAACAAAACCTGACATGTAGCAAACTGTAATATGTAGGATTTTACTCTGAATGAAAGGTAAAGCAGAAGCCCTGTGGGGTTACAAATAAGCCTGATTTTATTCTTTGATATCACCCCAAGAATATCTTCACTCACTGTATTAAAATCTACTGGAGTTTCTGTTATAAATCTTGGACAAGCATTTACTTTCTATATGAAAGCTTCCATAACAATTCTTTGAAGGCTTCATCCTTAACATTTTCAGGTGATCTACTGATAATTCTGCATTTTGGTTCAGCTGTTGGCATTCAAACTCACGTGTAAGATGTATGGTTTGCAGAGTGAACACGACTCTTCTGTGATCTGATCTGCACTGCAGCTGAAGTTCAGGCTCTGCATCCCTCTCCCTGTTGCTCTGCTTAAGTGAGGTGTTGACGTGCTTGTCAGAAGCAGATGTTTTTCCATAGCTGCTGTTCTATGACCAGCTTCCATACTGACTCTTAAAGATTAGGGTTTGAAAATCCTTGGTTGATTTTGGCCTTCCCAGGTGGACTTCAGCAGACTGTAGTACTTAGCTCTAGGTATCCTGTAGAAGAACAGAAGCAAACCTATTGCCACAGTACAAATGAGCTTCTTTTGGCACACGAGTATGGAGTCATGGACATTTTTGGGGTATACGAGTTTAAGCACACTTTTTCCCCTAGGCTTTCAATTACAAACTATACAAACATAGCAATGAGGTGCATTACTGTTTAACATGGATAAACTACTAGAAATACTGTGAGGCTGTATTGTGGTCTCGTGGAAGAGGGAACACATTAAGACCTCAGCTTTTGAGGTAGTAGCTCTTGTGAGTGATGACAGTTCCACTGCCTCTCCTGAAGAGCAGTGTGTTGGCCTCCTGTCCAGAAAGGCATCATAGCTAAGTGATCAAAGGCTAAGATTTGGAGACTTACTGGTGAATAAACCTGAAAAATCAGTCTTTGATCTCTTAGCAGAAATTGATACTTGAAAAGGAGGAAGAGTTTGGAGAAATTGGTATTGAAATGCAAAAGGATTAGAATTGGGGGCCAGCTGGTGCAGTGACACACCTGACAAAGATCTATTGTGTTAGGTACAGAAACTAAAGCTGAAAGTTAAAGAGGATGAATCAAAAGATGAAAAGAACATAATAATGGAAGTGCTGAACTTTGAAAGGCACTGTAGCAGTGATTTCTGGAGAGAGATGGCAAAGACCAGAAAGCAGCTGGGCAAAGGATCTTCGGGGTGGAGACTGAAAATGACCTGTAGGAGAGGGAGGTCAAAAAAGAATTTTATTTAAAGTGAATAGCCAATACTGAGGCAAACCCAGCATTCACTCCTGTTCAGTGGTCAGATTTACAGAGGCATAACATGATGCTGGTGTCAAATACTCCATTAGTTCAGGCTTAAACAACTTAAATGAGTAATCTAAAAGTTCTGAAGTAGCTGGCAAACTAAAATGTCAACATTTATGCTATTTCCTTTATGTGTTTTGTTGTTTGCTTTATAAGGAGCAGATGTGAAATTGCATATTGCTACCTTAACTTTACAGTTTTGCTCTGATCTTTTGCTAGTATTTCATAATTCCATGTTAAAGGTCCATTTAATAAACATCACTTCTGTTTTCCTTCTCTGTCCCAGCAGTAGGCATCTAATGAAGACTGTAAGGATAGGACAAGCCACCTGTGATACCTCCCAAAACGTTTTGCGAGGATTTAGTAATTTTTTTGCTCAGACTTCTGAGTGAGAAGTGGTATCATTCACCTGTGGTTCTGTTCCATGAACTTATTCAGTTGTTTTTTGAACCCCTATGAAAGTCTGTCATTCACAGCATCCCCCATCAGGGTGGAGACTGTGCTCGTTTGTTTTCGAGACTGTCTCCTGTCAATTTCACTTAGTATTCCCTTGCTTTTTTGTAGGCAGAAAGTGAACAGTTTTCCCTAATCAGCTTTTCCATGTTACCAGTCATTTGAGAGACCTCATTGTGTCTGTCTGTCTCAAGCAGATAAAATGAAGGGAAGCAAAGCTGTATGCAGCATGGATTTATGAAGCGGTGTCATAATTTCCATTGCATCTCCTACTCATGGCCTAAAAGTTCCTAGTATTTAGTTTGCCTTTTTAACAGCTGGTGAATAGACTGGAATTGTTCAGTTGGAAGGGACCTACAGTGATCACCCAGTCCAACTGCCTGACCAATTCAGGGCTGACTGAAAACTAAAGCGTGTCATTAAGGGTGTTGTCCAAATGTCTGTTAAACACTGGCAGACATGGGACATAGGCCACCTCTCTAGGAAGCCTGTTGCAGTGTTTGACCACCCTTTCAGTAAAGGAGAGGTACCTCTAGGCTCAGAAACATAGAAATGATTGTTAGACTTGGATTGGTTTTGTACTGTTTGCGTCTTGGACATACCATTTCTGAGTCTGTCAGTTAATATGTTAAACTAGGATTATATTTTCCCTTGCAGTTTATCAAATTTATTTGCCTTGCTCTCACTCTGTTGCTCCTGAGGTGCCTCTGCAGGTTACAGTCAGTAGTTTTAGTCCTTGAATAGCTGAGCAGCATCAGCAAACTGTCACTTCACTTCTCATCCCCATTTCCTAGATCATTTATCTGATGTGTCAGTGTATCGGCAGGATACAGGACTGAGCACAGGTGCCTGTGGGAAATCCTCTGGTGACATGAATTCTGGAAACTAATAATACTATATTCCTGGCACCAATTTTTCTGTCTTTTAACCGATTATTTTCTTCCACTCAAGGGTCTTACTGCTTATCCTGTTGTAGTTTTGTTTCTTTAAAAGACTTCTACCACAGGCCCTATGGAAATTGATCTATATTAACAACTCTAAACTGCCTTGTTGCTGTGCCTGGTGACTCTTCCAAGGAACCTGACTAGATTTGAGACTTATGACTTCCCTTTATTAAAGCATGTTGTGCTTTCCCGTGATCTGTTTTGTCCAGTCATTCTGTTTTTTATGGAAACTTCTAATTTGTTTAGTATCAACATCAGACTTACTGTTTTGCCATTTGTTGACTCTTCCTTGGAACCCACTTTAAAAATTCATTTCATGATTATTGCATGCTGCTGCTTCCTGAGTGGGTCATGGGTATGTAAGAGAAATATGCTATTTCTAGAGCTCCCAACTTCATTTGCTGCAAAACCTGGATAGCACAGAAAGGACAAAAAAGTGTGAAAGGAAGTGAAAAGACTATTTGATGGTTAAGATAGTTAAATACTGCCCTAAAGAACTAACCTATTAATCACTCTGTCAGAATTAGAATTCCTTAAAAAAAAAAAATGTCTGAAGCAGTTTTAACTTGTATTTTTAAAATTTATTTTCTAAGTAAGTGCCTGTTGTGAGGCCTTCAGTATCATTTGCAGAAACAATGAGCACTTTCAGCTGCTGTGTACAGGCAAAAAACTACTACTTTGAAATATATCTACTGTGATTCAATCTTGAAGCCTAAAATTAGAGCATACCTTTTGGCCCTTAATTTTATGCTTCCATCACCCATGGTGAGGCAGGCAACAAAACCATCTAAGGCCGAAATACTATTATTTTGATTAAATGTTTTTATTTAACTGATATTGTAGTTATGATGTCTATAGAAGAGCTTCTAGGGTAATTTGCAGACCAGACTGCGGATACAATATTCTGAGGCTTGGGGAAGCTATATGTGTCCCTCTCTGAAAAGGAAAATTACCTTACTACTCAAGAAATAAGTGCTATCTTTTATGCCTCATTTGGTGCAAAGAGGCATATTCCAAATTCTGGAAGAGGGGAAAAAGGAAAAACACAATGTCAATTGCAATTATAGAAAATGTCATTTGTATCCTTTCTCTAGTTCAGTAAGTGTGTAAACAAGCCACCCTGACTCTTCTGAGGTTTCATGGATACTATTGTGTAACAGGTTTAGAGGTTGGTTCTGTATTTTACAAATGAATGGTGCCACTTTATCATGGCATCACCTTACAGTTGTAACCTACCTTAGCATACAAGTATCAAATGTGGTATACAGTCATCAGTGCAATAGCTTATTTGAATGTATCATTTAGTGCTAAAAATACCAAATTACAGGATTTCATTTCTTCTACACATTTTTATGGTAGAACATTTGGGAAGGACTAGCTTCTGGAGTACAGGTACATGCATGGCTATAGGATTATGTTTGCCTGACTTCCCTCCCTTTTCTTGTTTCTCCTCTCATTCCATTCTTTTTCTTCCCTTCTGGTTTTAACCCTTTTTAGTTTTAACTAAACTTTCCAGGGATCAAAGTGTGGAAGTTCTAATGAGTTCACAGTATTGGTGGCTGGCCCATATGTGTTGAAGAGCCAGCTGGCAGAGGCAGCGCATGGCAAAGGCTGTAGCAAGTCTTACCAGGCAGTGGCTGGAGAGCAGAGGTGAGGAGTGGTTAAAGAGGTTGCCTTGAGGGAAGAGGAAGGAGTTGAAAATTACCACACTCTTAAAGTGGTTAAATGTGCAGAAGAATCACTTGTGCTGCTTATGGAAGACCTTGTTCAGTTACTTTCACCTTTTCAAGAATTAGGCAAGCCATTCATCCTAGATAGTAGATTCTGCTGGCAATAAAATACTTAATCTGAAAAGCAGCCAATATTTTCTTCTAATAGTTAGGTTTATAATGGTTGATCAGACCTTTAAAATGTTTCATATAGAAAAGTGATCTTAAGTTGCCTCCTACACAGATATTAATTTATAGGGTTATTTCCCCCACATATTCCTGTCTCCTTACCAGTCTGCTTGATTTCTCTAAGATCATAAATGATTTTCTCACTTTTTCAGAATAGCCTTTAAAAATGCTTCATAACATGTATAGATTGTGTTGAGAATTTTTTTAGGAAAAACGAATTCTGAATTTGAACTTGGCTTCAGCACTGCAGAGAGCTTTGGATGTTCAGCGTTTCTCTGAGTTTTTACTTACTTTTTTTTTTTTTTTACCTATTAAATATGTGCAGCCACAGAAAACTACTGTAAAGAAGTCAATATCTTCTAAGTTTTTGGGTTATTTTGTGACAGCATCTTGCATAAAGGGATCATACTGTCTGCCCCAGGACTGTGTGTCTTTTGTGTGATATCTCATGTGCTTGAGTTCTTCTAAGTGTCTTATTCTGACAACATTGCCATTTTTTTCCATGAGAACCTTTCTACAGCTATTCAGTCTTGGATAGTCAGCTGATCCTGTTTACAGGAGGAAATTTTGTATGGAGGAAACTTTGAACCATTTTATGGTTGTTAATTGTTCAGTCCATGTTGTTTTGCAGACTTTGGCAATGGTTTTATAAGTGTTCCAGGACCAATATGGAAAGGTCAGATTCCAGGGGAACTCTGGAGTTGCAGAGGCACAGGATATCACTTTTTCCGATAGCACAAGAAAGAAACAAGAGAAGTTCATGCAACTGTATTTCTCAGATCACTCTGCCACGTTACTGAAATAAGAAAGTAACTTAGTGACATAGTTGGCGAAGGGTCCTGCAGTGGTACAGACACATGGCCCCTGTTGCCAGGTGGCTGTGCTTAAGTGTTCTTCAGGATTGTAGGCCATGACCTGGCTGGCTGGAACAGCCTCATAAAACTGGTACAGATTCTTGAGTTTCAGATCTGAGAGTTAGGGGTGGGATGGTAATAAGTGAACTATGGTTGCAAGGAAACCAATGATACTTTTCTTGAAGAAACCACTTTATAGTTCTGGGCAGCAGTGAACAGTTCCTGATAGTCCTTCTGTGACCGAGCCATGAAATAGCAGGAGAAAGATCCTGTGATTGAGAGATGGTTAAGTAGCAGTTAAAAGACTTTTTGCTGATCCATCAAACTGAGTGGTTGAAAAGTAGCAGAAAGTGGAATGGGATCAGATTTAAGAACTGAAGAATCTTACAGAGCACGTTAATTTGAAAAGGATGACACAGACTGTTAGCTTAGTAGTCATTTTGACTGTGGATCAAATTATAATCCATAAATTGCATTACCATTAAAGGGCAGGGAGCTGTACCAGCATAGTTATGTGTAAGGCTCCATGAAAAGTATAGTGGTTGTGGCCAGAAATTTTGGGAACAATTTTGTTCTAGCATGTGGCCAAAAGAAAACTGGAATTATTGTGCTTATGTATCTACCTGGTTTTATCAGTGGTAATGTGTTAAAATGTGTAGTTGATACTAGTTGGTTTCATTTTGGAAATGCAGAAAGATCCCCCAAAAATGTTGCTTGCAAACATTGACAGAGAGAAAATTATTCTCCTGGTTTGGATTGGATAGTGAAGAATTAGAAACTGCTATCATCTGACAGCTGCTTGATTTAAATAAATGATTGTTTTTCCTATTTAATTTGATTTCAGAGTATCAGAGCAGCCACAATAAGCAGCTGTCTTTAAAGTCTTAATAGAAGGGGCAAAATTGGTGAATTAATACCTTCTAACCTCAGGTTGAAATATCAGCAGGTTCATCGTGTAATGGGCAGATTAAAATGACTGTTCAGGTTTGTGACCCTTTGAGGGCTTGTATGCTGAGCTTAACACTAAACTAATGTGGTTGCACAATGTTTAGCTTGAGGGTGGCTTACAGAAGGATGGAGTGGACTGCATAGCAAAATCAGTTACCTACTTGCTTGCTCTGCTTTATAGTAGTTCTCTGTCTTCCTTTGGCATGTGCGTGTCAGTATCAGTGATAGTCCCAGTGCTGTCTTCCCTTTTTAGCTACTTATGACACCAGTCAGTAATCTGATTTAAGCCTGTATCTCACCAGGTCACTGAAACAAAGCTACATTGTTTGAGGCCTAGTAGATGTCTCTTCTGCTTCTTTTCGTCTCTCTGTATCTGTCAGTGCAACTCTGTGCTGTAGGATGCTTTATCTTGAACTACTGTATATGATAGCTATTGGGTGTCCCTATTCCTCTCATAGAACCATAGAACAGTGTGGGTTGGAAGGGACCTTTAAGATTCCTGTTCCAACTGACCCACCACAGGCAGGGACACCTTCCACTAGAAGGTGACAGAAAGACAGGGAGACTCCACTGTCTTATTTCACAACTTTGATCTTGTTTTAGCTGTATGTATTGTCTTAGAGACTTTTGTTTAAATCTTAAGGTATCTTTTATCAGAAAATCATGCCTAAATTGCATTGTCTTCCAAGCATGATGATATTTGTTTGGACCTCCTCCTTTGGCTTTGTATTTGTGTGGAATGGTGAAAACACTTTCACCTATAAGGTCTGAGCTCTTGTCTTCCAGAAAGTAAATTCTGTCAGTTTGGATTCATTTGGTGCTAGCATTTTGCCTTGGCTTTGTGCAAGCATTCATTCTGCAGATTGCTAGAAGTCCTTGCTTACCCGTAATTATCCAAATTACCAGTGAGGAAAATTTTACTACATTAAACACAAGTATCTAATGATGAGCTATATTCATTTTTTGCAGTGAGTTGTTTGTTTACTGTAACCATTTGCTGGAATACTTTCTCATTAGGTGAAAGACTGTTATAGGTACTCCTTATTCTGTCTCCTTTCCTGGCAAGATCACACATTCCTCCCAAATTAATTACATTTCTCCTATACTTCCTTAAGAAGAAGCATTTGTATTTACAAAAGAGAGCATATTTGCCAAGACAGTAGGCTTATCAGTCCATGTGAGCACTGTGGACGTCCATGTGAAGTGAGAGTTTTACGATCTGGTCCCAAAAGGTTGTTCAGCACTAAATCCCCTTGCAAATGGTTATTTCAAGATTTAAAGAAAGACCTTTTCTGTTCCTTTGCAGTCACTCTTGGAAGCACATGATATTGTCGCTTCAAAATGTTACGATTCCCCTCCTTCTAGCCCAGAAGTCAATAATTCTTCAGTGAACAATCAGGTTGTTCCAGTAGATGCTATTCGTATCCTTGGAATTCACAAAAGAGCAGGAGAACCACTGGTAAGTAACTGAAGATGAGTTTGTTTTTAGATTAAAGTACAGTTGAAAATGTTTGCATGTGCCTGGTTTCTTGCATTATGTTTTAATTATTTACAATATTATGTTGTGTAATTTAATGAGTGGTAAGATCAGTATTGAGAGGTTGAAATAAGAAGATACTTATGTATTCTCTCTCTAAGATATAATGGGATAGTGAATAGGCAGTCACTAGACCAAAGGACTTGCTAGCATAACTGACTCTAACACAACATGTTTGGCCCTGAGACAAGATGACAGGGTCTCATGCAGCCGAGAACAACACAGTAATTTTTCAGGCATATGAAAACCCTGTCTGAAAGCACTTTTATGTCACCTGATGCTTCTCTGTGTACTGGGAGCTCTTACACTGTAGTAACTGTTACTGTCTGTTTTCTTTGGAGTAGGTGGAATATCCCATAGCTGTGTATTTCTGCTTGAGATAATGGTAAAATGAAACTGAGATTCAAACAGTGGTAAGTTGGTTGTCACATCTCTCTTTCAGGGTGTTACATTTAGAGTTGAGAACAATGATCTGGTAATAGCACGGATTCTTCATGGAGGAATGATAGATCGGCAAGGTCTTCTGCATGTGGGTGACATTATTAAAGAGGTGAATGGCCATGAGGTTGGAAACAATCCAAAAGAATTGCAAGAACTGCTGAAAAACATTAGTGGCAGTGTCACTTTGAAGATTCTTCCTAGCTACAGAGACACCGTTATTCCTCAGCAGGTCAGGAGCACATTTCTAATGGTTCTGTCAAAAGTTCTTCTTAGTACTGTATTATGTAAGATTATTTAAAGATTTTGGATTAAGCATAGTTTGATTATTTTGTGTGTATAATGCTAGGAAGAAGGCTAAAATGAAGATACCAGTATTAATTTAATTACGTTTTTGTAATGTGTTTATTCATTACCTTAATGTGCCACATCCAACGTGCCTGCCTGAAAAAAATCTCTTATGTGAAATTGATGAGCGTTCATATATTACATGTAAAGTATGTTTCTTTGACACCAAGTGACCTCTGATGACCCAGCCACAATCACACTAATATGCAGTGAACTGAGTGTGTGTGTGTTTATAACAGGGTTGGTGTCCAAGTAATCTGTTCCATGGAATTCAGAAACATACTGAATTCAACAGATTAGCTTGAACCCACTGACTTACATAGGAACTGAGATGGAGGCTATTCCTTATCCTTTTGTTGCTGCAGGCTGTCAGTTTCTCCACGGCAGAAGTAACTTGTTGCTCTAAATCAGTGCCTTTGAAACACCTTTCAAGATGCTCCTTCAGTGGGCCTTAATGCCCGTGACTGTAGCAGGCTATGCTTACATTGAGCAGAGGCTGAGGAAATGTGCTGTGCTCGAGGCAGCGCTTCCTCTGCTCCCCAGCCTGATACAAAGAAAGTCAAAGATGTTTCCAGTCCACAGATGCACCTTACTGTTTCTTCCCCTACATCAGATTTGAATCTTAAGCAATCACTGAGTTCATCTTAAGATTCCACAAGCCTTGAATAGAATGCTTACATTCTGAGAATTTTTCTGTATTTTTAAGTAATTAAAAGTCAGAATACTAATTAAGTTTTGTATACTGAAATGCAGAAATGAATGTTTTGTAATACATTGTCTAAATGGAACAGTCGGTTTTTTATTTTTATCGTGAAGCCTCTTCAGCCAAGGTTTGCACTGTTGATTATTCTGTCTCAGCTGGTATATGACTTTTTTTCCCCCTAGTTTGTATTTTACATGCCAAATGCAACTTTGATCATGTCAAGCTTTTTATGCTCTAGGTAAAGACATTACTTCAGTTTGACAGATAAATTAGTCAGAATGTATTTTATAATGTCTAAGCTTTGTTAATTTTTGCACATTTCAGGTTTTTGTGAAGTGTCATTTTGATTATAATCCATATAATGACAACCTCATTCCATGCAAAGAAGCAGGTTTGAAATTTTCTAAAGGAGAAATTCTTCAGATCGTAAACCGGGAAGATCCAAATTGGTGGCAGGTTGGTAAAAAGATCAAAATAAATTAAACAAAAACCTGAAGAGCATCAGTAGTTGCCTTGGTCATGAACTCTTTAAATTATGGTCTTCTTCTATTTAGCAGTAGATACAAGAAAAAATATTTATGCTGCAATCCAATTTCAAGCTAATATCAAATATTAACAGTTGAAACTAGAGGAAATGGAATGTTTTAAATTTTATATGTAAGGCTTATTTTGCTGTTAGGGCTACTTGTTTTGTTTTTTATCATAGCCTGGACGTTCCAAAATCAGTTTAAGTGGACAATTTCTAGGCAAAAGTCTTAGGTTGACTATGTTAATTGTGGTAAGCCTTCCCTGACAGCGACTGTGGAAGAAATGGACTCCTTCCTGAGTGCTCAGAGTTTAGGAGTGAAAGAGGGAAATTAATCTTATGGATTTGAAGAAGGGTGAGAATAGCTATTTGGAGAAGCTATATCTTTTATTTCTACAGTGGTGATCAGTGTCTGTGAGCTGTATCATGAATGTTCATAGTCACAGTGTTTGGTACTATTTCAGATATTAACAGTTCATCCTGCTTTAAGGTTGTATTTCTACATTCAGTCCTTCAGTAGAAATGTAATCCAGTGCTTGTGCTATTTTTATTTTTTCCAAGACACTATACACAGAATTAAACATCATCAGTGCCTTTGAAAGTGGGACGAGTGAACCTTTAAGACTTATCAACTGAGATACTCAGAATTGGAAGTGGCAAAGAGTTTAGCATTATTAATTTCCCTTGCTACCCCTACATTGTTCACGCTTTGCAAGGTAACAAGTAGAGAGCCAGACATTACTTGAGAACAATATATATGACTTCTTTAAAAGCAGCAAAAATATTTGACTATGCATAATCAACTGCTGGATTTTGTTGCTTGTGAGTGACAGAAGGAGAATAAAAAGTGTGAGGGAAGACAGAAAATTTATTACTGCCAACTTAATTAGTTTCAGAAGTTAGACACTCCAAAACTCAGGAGTAGTTTGACATTTAGCTACCACGCTGACTTCTGTATTGCTTTTCAGATTCTCCAGCTGTAACTTGTGGGAGTCCAAGAGAAATAAATCTTCAATACTCGATCAGTGGCAAAATTGAAATGTGTTAAATTGCTATAGTGTATTGCTATGCAGATCATGCCCCTGGGAAAAAAAGTTACTTTTTCCTTGTACTATCTAGAAATGCCAGACTGTTAATGAAAACTTCATACTGTAAAAAATGAGTTAGTCGTAGGTAAAAGCATACAAGTTGAAAAGCAAACATTTCCTGTTAGCAAATGAAAGATTTATGCAAGCAAAAGATGCATGCAGAATTATAACATTTCATGACTGTGTGTTTGTATACGTGTTAAGCTTGCTGAGAATTGAACTTGCCGTGAAATTATTTTATAGAGAATCTTAGTCACATTTTCATTACAAGGAATACTTAAGTTACTAAGATTTTAAATGTGTAGTTACTTAGTGAAGGAAGTTTGAAGGCATCGTTAGGCACATGTGAATGGCATTCACTGTGAAATGACAGTTAATAAGCTGCACTGGAACTTGTTTGGAGCAGCTCAAAAATACAAAATAAGTGTACTATGTACTAGAAAATCTTGACTTTGGTCACCTGAGAGTTCAATATCTGGACCTATAGAATTCCATTTTAGATTTTAATGCTAAAGGTTTATGGCTATAGGAGCTTACTAACTTAATGGGAACCAGTAATGAAACTTGTATCTATTTTATTTAAGTTTCCAGAATTGTAATACTCAATGGCAAGACAGTGTTACTGTAAAGGAGAATTTTAATATCCACATCTGAGTTTGAATTTCCAAATTTCAGTAGTAAATGTATCAATACTCACCACTGAGAAACTCTGGTGGTGTGGAAGTCAAGTCAACACCATCTTGATGACAACAATGCTTCTCACAAGTTATAATTTTTTGTATTATTTTTTCCCCCAGGCTAGTCATGTCAAAGAAGGAGGAAGTGCAGGTCTAATTCCCAGCCAGTTCCTGGAAGAGAAGAGAAAGGCCTTTGTTAGGAGGGACTGGGACAACTCAGGTGAGATTTAGTGAATTTCAGGAGCAGCTTTTGCTCTGGCTCCATTTGTTTTGCTTTTCCTGGCTTCATAAATAATAAAAATCTGCTGTGAGATTACAGAGAATATTGTGAAATGCTAAATATTATATTTTGACTTTGACTGAAGGACAAAGGCTAAAGTCTCTGCTTAGTGTTCGGAGATGAACTGATTCAAACATGAATCAGTTTTGCCATCTGCTGATGAAAAGCTGAATGAGGGTGGGACAGGCATAAGAATTAACTTTTGTTTTTTTAAATTGGGGGATTTTTAGTATGCGCTGTAAATTACTTAACAAAACATGGATTTTCCTGCTGCTTTTTACAAAGCTTTGTAGGAAAATAATGTTTTTTTCCTTTGTGTTCGGTTCTTGCTATACCATTTGATGTGCATGTAAATAGATGTGATCTCCTGCCTTAGAACATACGAAGTTCTAAAATAGTCCTTATATATGTAATTAATCTAAACTTTCAGATATTCATGTAAATAAGCTTTGGAAAAACATATTTAACAAAAATTGCAAGTTCATATAATTTTTTTATTTTTAGGGCCTTTTTGTGGAACAATAAGCAGCAAAAAAAAGAAAAAGATGATGTATCTCACTACAAGAAATGCAGGTATCTCTTAATATTACATATGAGTCAAAGTTGTCTAGAGTTCTAAACTTGCAGAGTCTAGGGTATACAGAGCTAAAGATTTACAGTAAAATATTTGATCATAAATTTCATAGATCAGATAGTTTTTATGGTTTAAAAGCAATATTAACCAATGAAGATATGGTTGTGCTGAGTGCATCCTTTGGTAGGGGGAAGTCAGAGAAAAACTGGGTGTTAAAAGAGAAGAAAAGCAAAAGCTCTGTTGCCAGCAGGTTGAGGGGGTGTGATCCTTCCCTCCTACTCGGCATCAGTGAGGCCACACCTGAAATGTACTGAGCATCTCCCCAGTACAACAGAGACATGGCCATACAAAGGCAGTGAAGGGACTGGAGATCTCTCCAGTGAGAAAAGGCTGAGAGAGCTGGAACTGTTCAGCCTGGTGAACAGAAGGATCAGGGCAGGTCTCATCAATGTGTATAAATACCTGAAGGGAGGATGGAGCTGGGCTCTTTCAGAGTAGTTCAGTGACAGAGCAAGAGTCAACAAGCAACAATATAGGAGGTTCCCTCTGAAAACACATTTTCCACTGTGATGGTGACTGAGCAATGGCACAGGTTGTCTGGAGAAGTTGTGAAGTGTTCTCCCTTGGAGATACTAAACAGTTGTCTGGATGTGGTCCTGGGCAGCCATCTCCAGGTCGTCCTGCTTGGGCACTGTGGTTTGGCCAGATGGCCTCCAGAGGTACCTTCCAATCTCAACCATCCTGTGATTCTGTGAAAGCTCATTAATTGTTAATCACAGTTTTCCCCTTCTGATCAAATTCAGATTTTCTATTTGGAAGTAAAGGTGAGAATCTGACCTTAATGCTGTCCATGGAGGGATAGCTGTCTCACCCCCAAACCAATTTAAAGCAAAAAAGCTCATATTAGACTTACTGCCCTTTGAGTACTATTTATATTCACATGGGCTCTTTTGAAATGTAGCAGGACTGCTTAGGGTTTTTTTTTTTAATTACAGCAGTGACTGTGTATTAAACTTTTTTGTACATTTCTCAATGTAGAATTTGATCGTCATGAAATCCAGATCTACGAGGAAGTGGCCAAAATGCCTCCTTTTCAAAGGAAAACACTGGTCTTGATTGGGGCCCAAGGAGTGGGGCGAAGAAGTTTGAAGAACAGGTTCATAGTACTGAATCCTACTAGGTTTGGAACTACAGTGCCATGTAAGTTGTCAGCATTCCTATCATCCTATCATACTTTTAAGTCTGATTATCTGGAAAATACCTGATGTTTATCCCAATGATTCGGTGTAGGAGTAATTTTGTCAGACTTTAAAAATTATATAGAGTGGGAAAATGAGCGCCTCTTCCTCTTTACAGACAATTGAACTAACATAGGATGACTGTGAAAATATTTGTAACTGGCAGTTAAATGTTACTGATGCTGCAGAAAACCAATTGTTGTCTATGCAGTATTTCAGTCTGTGGGTTTCTTCAGTGTCAGTCATCATCCCTTACTGGGGAAATTCAAGAAGTTTCTAGTAGCCTTCTGTAATGAACAGCCAGTGGAGTTTCTCAGGTTCTGCCTTTTGGTCTTCCACCTGTGGAAGCATCCTAGGCATTATAAATTGTTGCTTTAGTATTAAAAATGTAGGGAACTGAAGTGTTTGTGCTCTCCAAGATTTGTATAACAATCTGATGTTTTTATATACCTAACCTGAAGTCCACGGTCCTTCATTTTTTCTCTCTATCAGCTGCTAGAAAGAAATGCTCCTCCATTACTGAAGCATTGTTTCCTTGCCTTCCTTTCAGACACTTTACTCATTCACAAGACCTTTATGTTTTTTAACTGCTCCCTTCTGTTTGACTGCTGCCCAGAGAAGTCCACCCTAGCTACATTATTATTCTCCTGCCATGTGCTTTTCAGAATTTCAAAAACAGTCTGTTCCCTTCTGTTTTCTGTGGGAAGTAGATCTGATGATAACAGGAGAGGAGGGACAGGTTTGAAAGGTGAATTGTGCAACATCAGAGAACGAGTCTCTCTCATTTTCTGAAACTCCAACACCAAAACTGGCCAGGGTGTTTAGAACTGGTATGTAGGGCTGATAACAAGGTTGACTTCTCAGTGTTACTTTTTTAAGGAAATCTTGCCCTGGGAACCTTATTATTTTATATTGGCAAAATAGTAAGAGACTTTTTATTGCTTCTAAAATTCTTATTTGATTTAAAAAAAGCCCTCAGAATTAATTGTTTCTCTAAAATGCTATATAAATGCTTAAATGTATATAAGTAATGCAACACAGTGTTAAAGTACTTTTACTTGGAGTTCTTGAACACACTTCAAATACATAAAAATTAACTTTTCCCAATCTTGACAGTCTAAGCATGCACTTGCAGTACCTAGTTTATTATATGTAGAATCTCCTCTCTACTTTAGATTTTAACTGGGATAATCAGTAATCAGTAATTTTAGTTGGTCTCAGTTTCCTTATTAGAAGAAAATTCTCCAGGTTCTTCACAAACCAGTATATGTGGTAAATGGCTGAAATGGATCCATTGTGCTATGGAGAGAACCATGTTCTTGGTCTTGAGCTCTAATCTAGCACATGGTGCTGTGGTTTCTCTTCAACAGAGGTGGCTGAACTGTTAAATCATCTTCTGGCTGTAAACTGTTAAATCCCGTTCTCTAAAATTTATTTCAAACTGATATGATAATAGTTTTTTTGTATTGTATGAACCATTATAGTGTTAATGTTTCTGCAGAATTGTGGCTAAAACCAGATGTTCTAGTAATATGTTTATCAGTAATAGCTTCAGAAGATCGTTTTCCCTGAGACTTGAGTTTTCTATCATATTGAAGTTGATAGGAATTCCTGGAAGGGGGGGATTGCTTTCCACTTGTATCACCAAATTGCAACAAGTGCTGATAAAAGTATTACCAAAGGAATCCATTCACTGTTCCATTTAATATGTTCTAGAGTTCAAATCTGATTAAATATAAGTAGTGGGTAGTTAATATGGTGATAGGATAGCAAAGTCAATAATAATTCAGTAGGGTATTTTATTTTATTTTATTTTTACTTTCTTGCTTCAGTAATGTCTGTACTGCACAGCTTAGTCAATACCCAAGAGAGTTGATAATGTTTTACTTAAATATTGGCTTTAATCTTTCTGCAGGGAATTTACCTTATTTTAAAGGGTAAGCTGTACTGGAGAGCAGCATTAGCTGGCCTCCACTAAGATTCTGTAACAGTGGCTGGGCTGCTTCTGATACTTAAGTAACTTTCTTTATAGCTAGCTTAGGTAATTGTACCCTGAATAGCAAGGGCAAATACAGTGAGCAAAAGTTTAGGGGTGGGATGAGGCAGATCTTGTTGTGTGTTCAGTTATTTTCAGAAGTACGTTTGGCATTTGAGAGTTAAATTTCCATTTGATTTCCAAGTCACTTAAATAATTACTTGAAGTGAATAACCAAAAAGATGACATGAATGAGTATTGTAAATGGTGGGAAGGAGTAATACAAAGGAAATGGGCAAATGAGTGGGTAAGAAACATATAGGAAAGAATAGAAATAAAGGGAACAGGAGGGGCTGTGCTCAGTTTTAAAACTTACACTAGAATAATGAATTAATCTGTACATGGTACAATTACAGTTGTATATTAATGCATATTATAATCTCTCTAACTTAATAGGCAGCCCAGTCTCATATTTTTATTCCAAATATAAAAAGAAAATATTCAATTTATATTTTAAATTTCTTGGTTAGTTACTTCACGAAAGCCAAGGGATGATGAAAAAGATGGGCAAGCGTACAGATTTGTGTCACGAGCTGAAATGGAGATGGATATTAAAGCTGGAAGATATTTAGAGCATGGAGAATATGAAGGAAATCTTTATGGCACCAAAATTGATTCCATCCTTGAAGTTGTTCAGACAGGAAGGACCTGCATCTTGGACGTAAATCCACAGGTATGTCATTTATAATGTTCCACTACAAGTGTGGGAGTATAATGTTGAAGAGGTGAAGAGGTATGCCTTAAAACTTGAAGGCTTCTTATCTGGTTTCAAGATTATAATATCAACTGGATTCATGCCTTTGTGCCACGTCATTGGAATGAGTTAGAGAAAGATGGAAAAAACCTAGCTTAGATTCTGCATGAAAAAGGCAACTTGCAGAGTAGTAAATAATCTTTTTAGCCAAGGAAGGAAGGCTGTTGAGCATTTCAAAAGGCAGTGCAGGAGTTTCTAAAATAGAAATAAGAATCTTCGCTTATGTGTTCCTGTCCATTGTAACAGATTAGTTTTCCAGTGCCCC